CGAGCGAAGCGAAGGCGTCGGCGACACCTGAAGCAGTTGAAGAAATCCAGAGCGAACCGCGGGCGGCCATTAAAATCAAGCCTCCCATGCCCCCACCGTTCAACCCGATAGACAGGACGACCACCGTAAGCGGGTGGCTGTTCGCCATGGAAATCTTCTTCGCGGCAGCAAGTATTAATGACCACGCCTCACGTATCAACTTGGTTGTGTCGCTGCTGAGGGGACCGGCACTCGACTGGTGGCGCATGCATCTTGACGAGGGAGGAGCTCCGGCAGGGAATCAACGGGCGGCAGCTGGGGAGATGATTTCATCAACGGCAACGGCAGAACCAATCTTTGGCTCGACCACGATCCGCACGTGGAAAGCGTGGGGCGAAGCGTTGAAAAGCAAATTCGAGCACATATCCATGCGCGAAAATGCTCGCACAAAGCTTCGGATGTGGAGACAGTTGGGCCCTGTCCAAGAATACACGGCGTCGTTTCTGGCCATCTGCGACCAAATCGGAGGGATCAGCGAGGACGAGAAAATCGATCGCTACGTGGGCGGACTCAAACCGGAGATTCAACAAGAAATCGTCCTGCGAGCCCCGACGACCTTCAACGAGATTGTTCGCATGGCGGATGCGCTGGACGCGCGACGTGGACTCGCGAGAGCGGGTTTCCGGGGGGGAAATCGCTTTCGAGGTCAGCCCCAACACACATCAATCAACTGCGTGGACGTGTTTGCAGCCCGAGTATTTTCGGGGACCTGCTTCCACTGCAACCAGCCGGGTCACATGGTGAGGGACTGCCCGCAGCTGAAGAAGAACTTACCTAACGACAAGAAGCAGTCGGGAAATGGAGATCGTCAGTAGCAGATGGGCCACCTACTGACTTGACTGCGTCGCCCAAACGCCACCACCCCCACCAGGTTATAGTGCCGATTTGGGCTATCGACCATTCCTGACTGAATAAGGGGGGTGAACTGGTTGACCACCTTGTGCTGGTTGAAAGGAGAGTTGGTGATACCCGCATAAAAATATTTGTTGATGGCGGGGCAAGCCACGGTTTAATGGATGTGACGAAAGCGAAAACATTGCGACTGCAACTGGAGCGGTGTCTGCCTGAAATCGACGCGCGATTGGTCGATGGCACACCCCTGGCAATTCGGGAGCGAGTATCTGACGTGCGAGTTACATGCGGCGAAAATTTCAGCTTTACGACGAAGATGCTGGCGACAACGTTGGACGGCTGCGACATGCTACTGGGACGCGATTAGCTACGCGAGTACAACCCGAGCATCGATTGGCGGACGGGTGACTGTCGAATCAAATGGAGTGGCGAGTGGCGACGACTTCCGAAATGGAACAATCCAGATTCTGCGACAGTCAGCGCGGTTACAATCAAGCGAGCGATGATTCGCGGGGCACAACTGTACGCCGTCCGATGGATCGCATCCACGGCTGTCAGCGCACCGGCCGACATCGACAAACTCTGCGCGACAGTCCCCGACGACTTGGCGACATTGATCCGCAAGCATGCCGACATCTTTCCGGACGACCTACCGCCAGGATTGCCACCCGAGCGAGACCACGACCATAAAATCCAGTTGGAGCCCAGCGCGTAACCGACGGTTTGGACACAGTGGAGGCTGACTCAGCCAGAGCTGGATGAACTTCGACGCCAGCTGGATTACCTGCTTGAGAAAGGTTTCATTCGCCCCAGTACTTCACCGTTCGCGGCTCCGATACTGTTCACCCTGAAGAAAGATGGCGGTCTATGAATGTGCATTGACTACCGCGCCTTGAACCGGGTTACCATCAAGTCTCGCTATCCTATTCCGCGTGCCGACGAAGTCATCGACCAACTTCGTGGGGCAAAGTTCTTTTCGAAAATTGACCTGCGAGGCGGTTACCACCAGATCCGTGTCAACGAAGCTGACTGCTACAAGACGGCGTTCCGAACTCGATACGGGAGTTATGAGTACACGGTCATGCCTTTTGGCTTAACCAACGCGCCTTCAATATTCCAGTTAACCATGAACGAGGTTTTTCGGCCGCTGTTGGATAAATGCGTCATTCTGTACCTCGACGACATCCTGATATACAGCACTACCCGGGAAGCACATTTGAAGGATTTGGAAGCAGTCTTCTCTCTCCTACAGCAGCATCGACTCATCACCAAGGGTTCTAAGTGCAAGTTTCTGAAACACGAACTGGAGTTTTTGGGACACGTTATTTCCATTGACGGTGTTAAAATCGACCCGAAAAAAATCTTGACCATACAAGACTGGAAGCCGCCGGCTAATCTTCGCAAACTTCAAAGGTTCCTGGGGTTTGTGAATAACGTTCATCGGTTCATCCCGAACATGGCGGGGGTAACTTCCCCTCTCACGGATCTTCTGAAGAAAGGCAAGTTTTATGAGTGGGGGGGAGAGCAGCAGGCTGCGTTCGACCAACTCAAACTTTTCCTGACAACACCTCCGGTTTTTCGCATTGCAGATCCTCACCATCCGTTCGAACTCATCACCGACGCTAGCGACCTAGCTGTTGGCGCAGTACTGTTATTGGATTTCGGCGAAGGCCTCCAACTCATCGCCTACGAGTCACGAAAGCTGAATCCGGCTGAGCGAAATTATCCCGTCCACGACAAGGAGCTACTCGCCATCGTTCACGCGTTCAAGGTTTGGCGCTGCTACCTGACGGGCGCTGATGTGATAGTCTGAACCGACCACAAATCGCTACAGTTCATCCGCGCCCAACCGACACTCAACCCCCGACAGATTCGCTGGCTCGATTATCTCGAGTCGAATTTCCACTACAGAGTCACCTACAAACGAGGGGCCAGCAACATCGCCGACGCACTGACCTGCCCTTCAGTCCATACCGCCGCTGTTCTAATCACCCAAACCAATCCGCTGCTAACTGGACTATTTACCCACGGATACAGTACCGACCCATTCTTCACGACTAACATTGATCCCCAATTGACAGTCAAGCAGGGGGCTTATTACCTAAAATCCGGTACCAATCGGATTTGGGTTACCGCTTACCGTACCCTACGCGAGCTACTGATACAGGAGGCACACGACTCGAATTTCTTGGGTCACTACGGCATCGACAAAACTGCCAAATTACTGAGCCGTAATTATTAATGGCCCGATTTGCCGACGGACGTGCAGCAGTACGTCACCTCCTGCGCCACGTGTCAACGCATGAAGTCGTCACGACTTCGACCTGCGGGATTACTACAGCCGCTCGAGCCACCCAGCCGACCCTGGCAACAAGTGACGATGGATTTCGTCACTGGCTTGCCAGCTGGTCCAAGCGGTAGTGACGCGATTCTCGTCGTCGTTGGCCGTTTGACCAAAATGGCACACTTCGCCGCCTGCAAGACGACAATCACTGCCGAGCAGACAGCGAAGTTGTTTCTCACGAACATTGTGCGGCTATACGGCATCCCTTCGGCAATCATCAGCGATCGCGACCCTCGGTTCACATCCAATTTCTCGACAAAAACCTGGCAGCAGTACGGCACACGTCTGCATCTGTCCACGGCATACCACCCGCAATCGGACGGCCAGACTGGGCGCACCAATCAGACGATGGAGCAGCTGATTCGTACAACGTGCACAGACCCGGCCCACTGGGAAGATTCTCTTCCACTGATCGAGTTTGCGAACAACAACGCCCCATCAGCAACGACTACTCAGTCCCCGTTCTTCCTTCATTACGGGATAGATCTGATAACCCCCCTATCGCCACCGATCGAATATCCGGCACCCAGATCGCAGCAGTTCGTCGAAAACCTCCGACAGTCTCAGCAAAAAGCCGCCGATGCCATTCTCAAAGCCAACCAACGGGCTAAGCAGCAAGCTGACCGACGACGTCGTAACTTAAACCTTGCCCCTGGGCAATTGGTCCTACTCGACACTCGAAATTTGGGGATTCCCCTCCCAAATAAACTACGACCAAGCTTTTGCGGCCCATTTCGCATAATCCGCATGGTGACTCCCGTCACCGCCCAACTGCAACTACCGGCCGACTGGCGCATTCACAATTCATTCCACGTCAGTCTCCTGCGACCGTTCGTCCCGAATACAACTGATATCGACCGTCAACATATCAATCCTACGGTCAACCCAGTACCCGAGCCGACGATCGAGCCATCGAAAATTCTCGCTCATCGCGTACGAGGTTCTCGAGATACAGCAGCTGTTGATTTCCTTGTACGATGGGTCGATTGCACGACTGATGACGACCTCTAGGTCCCCGCAGCTATGCTCGGTGAACACAAAGTTGTCAGGGACTATTTACACCGACGACGTATCCCGGATGTGGGTAGTCTCATCCCGGAAGGGGGGGTGGTGTAAGGAAAATTCTTTTTCCTTACTGGGCTGAACTACAGCGCGTACGCCCTCGACCCTTGGAAGACCAGGCCCGGCCATTTTCCTCGGTCCTGAACCATTTCGTAAACCCAAACCTAATGCGCGGCGCCTCCGTGGCTTTCGCCAACCGAATCGCCCTAACCTGTTTGCGAGGTTCTCGGCTAGCCCTGTTGTGCCTGTAAATGCCTAGGTCCTCATTTGTATTGACGACTCTTGAATCACGACTCTTTTATTACACTACATGTTATTACTCTGATTAATTCATAACACATTGTGAACTCCGAGCAGGCCCTGAGATATCAGGCTTTTTAGGCTGATTTAGGTTTCGGATCCAGGCCATATCTCGGCATTGGCTAATGCAAATGATACAAAGGCTTGTGAGGGACCTGTTGTTCAAGAATAAGTCTCAATGGGCAGTATGCAAACAGAGGAAAATCATAGACAACATAAAAAACAGCCATTGAAATTAAGCAAACCAGGGCTTTAAGGTTGATATCTTAGGCCCTGACTCCGAGCTGCCAATGTCTACTAGAAACGCAAGACACATTTTATCAGTGTACCGATATCACCTTATCGTGCTATCACAGAATCCTGTAAATGTTCCACTCAGTTGCGGCGGGAATCCAGCCAGTCAGGCTCCCCACATTTCACTTACCCCTTCGCTGTGCCCCTAAGATCTACCAACCAGTCTTAGGTCGTTATTGTACCGCATTGCCTTGGCGCTTACCTCCCGCGCCGCGGAACTCCTATTACCGTGCTGTAGCCTTTTCCTGCTAGCATTTGACTTGCAGAGCGGTTCCAGTGACTGGCTGGCATTTGACTGGCCAGTGGTTCTTTTTAGGGTTCGCGCCTCGAATTCCATCCGTAGCTCGCGCGATTCGCGCATAGAAACTAGACGACTTTTAGGCCGATTTAGGAGATTTTTTTTTTTTTCGGGCTTTAACGACTTAGGAGTAACCTCCGCGTCAAACTTCTGACGTATTACCATGAGGAGAGAACGACGAGTCTATTTCTGCGGCGCCTAAAGCGCGTAAAATAATAATCCACCGCGTCCAGCTTCGCCAGCTTCTCCAGCTACTGACATGCCATGAGGAAAGAACGAAGATTGCGGGACTCGCATCCCGTGGTGAATGCCGTAGTGGTTCGCAACCCGGGTCACTCTAGTTGCCGTAGACACTCTAGCGTGGTCGCAGCATTCAGAGTCTAGCCCGTCGTTCTTCTACCGGTGGCTGTGGCTGTGGCTGTGGCTGTGGCTGTGTCTGCGGATAATACTCAAGAACACCCGCCTTCTGAATCGACTCAAAAGACCCCCCCCCCCCCCCCCCCCCCTTCTTTTCCTTCCGACGCGCCCCTGCTCAACAGTACTCTCTCTTATTTCCTCCCTTCCCGCGTGTTTAAGGCGATCACAGCTCTCCTCTCTCGCTCGCTCCCCACATCCTTACTATGACTCAGAGCGAAGCAGCAGCCAGAGCGGCAGCAGCGGCGAAAGCCACAGCCGCCACTGCCGCGTCAATCACAGCAAAAGCCGCCGCTAAAGCCGCTGCGAAAGCGTCCGCTACCGTCAGGGCTGCTGCCAGCACCGCTGCTGCTGCGACGGATTCTGCTGCGACCTTCGCCCGTCAGCGATGGCATACGACGTACGCCTGGTTACTCGCCGTTTTCGCCGCTCTCTACCGCCACCCCCACGTGCAGAAGCTCCTTAAAGCCGATTTGTCCGTCATCCGTGACGTCATTGCTTCCTCCACCGCCTCATGCTCCCCCAGCGGCAGCAGCAGCGACCGCGCAGCCCCGTCGTCTTCCGCCTCCGCCGCTTCCGCCCTCTCCCCTTTCCCCCCAATCCCCCCCGCCCTTCGCGCGACCCTCCGCTCCGTCTCCGCCTGCCTAGCGCCCGCCTTCGGCACGCTGCTTAAAGCCGTCCTTCTCCTCGCGGTGACTCTCGTGCTGGCGCCCCTTATAAGCTCGCTCCTTGCAGTCACGCTGGTGCCGCAGCCAGAAGCGCCGCATCCCACGGTGTGCCGCGTGCCGGATTATCTGGATAAGCCGGATGCAGAGGCGCGGCTGCACAGCCTGCCGGTGCTGTATTTCATAGCTGGCCTGGAGACAGCCGGCCAGAGCGTGTATTACACTCTCTTCAGGTGAGCTGTGAGCTATGAGCTGTGCTGTTACAGTCTAGCGCACTCGCAACAAGAGACTGCACTGCCTGTCACAGCTATATTCCTCGCAGGGCTGGAGACAGCAGGCCAGAGCGCGCACCACACTCTGTTCAGGTGAGTTCTGAGATGGGATTTGAGGCGTGTCAACAAGAGACTGCACAGCCTGCCGGTGCTGAATTTCACAGCTGGCACGGAGACAGCAGGACAGAGCGCGTATTACGCTCTCTCCAGCTGAGCTGTGAGCTATGAGCTGTGCTGTTAGAGTCTAGTGCACTATCAACAAGGGAGGGACTGCACTGCCTGCTCGGGGAGGCTGCCTGCCGGTGCTGTAGTCCTTCGCAGGGCTGGAGACAGCAGGCCAGAACGCGCATCACACTCCTTCAGGTGAGTTCAGACGTCTCAACACGAGACTGCACAGCCTGCCGGTTCTGTACCTTATCGCAGGGCTGGAGACAGCCGGACAGAGTGTGCATTACAGTACATTACATTACATTACACTCCGTTCAGCTGCAATTGTTTGTCAATTTTTTCCAAGTCGCTGGGATGCTTCAAGTCCGAGGGTGGATTGTAACATGCATTGTCTGGGGCCTACCCTCACCCTTCCTCCCCCCTTTCCCTCCGCCCCCCCGACCACAGCGAGCTATACGAGGGCGTGAAGAAGCAGCAGCAGCAGCAGCACGTGGGTGAGATGGAGCCGGAGCAGGAGTGGAACCAGACGGAGCTGCTGCTGACGCGCAGCAAGGCGCAGATCGTCGATGTCTCGCTGCCCGGCCGCAAGATCTACACCGAGTGCCCCCGGATAGAGTACTCCCGCCAGGCGTCCGACGTCGCTGCTCTCATCTCCTCCAAGATTGCGCCCCTGCAGGTGAGGGTTTGAGACTGATGCTGACGCACCGCAATGGTAGATGACTTTTGAGTCAACTCAAAAGACACCGAGTGCCCTCCTCGGATTGGATATTCCGACAGGCCTCTGACCTCACAGCTCTTATCCCCTCCAAGATTGCTCCATTGCAGGTGAGGCTCTGCGGCTGCAGCAGGGCCGGCGCACGCACCCTGGTGCTGCTGCTGCTGGCGAATCCCTCGTTCCCCATGGGCACCTCTCAGCTTCCCCTTCCCCCTCAACTTCCCCCTCCCCCTCCCCCCATCCTCAGGTGCAGGCATCAGCGGGGTTGCGGCAGCGGCAGGGCCGGCGGGCACCCGTGCTGCTGCTGGCGAACTCGTCGTTCCCCATGGGCGCGTCTCTGCGCACGCCGCTCGCCCGCCCTGACCTCGTTTCGCTGGGGCTCTACCACGGGTTGCTGTACCGCCTCAAGGTGCGTCTGCTAGCTTGCTGGCTGGCTTGCCCAAGTCCGTGTGATTCATGCCGTAGTAATTGTCGTCTCCACACACGCGGCACGCCGCTCGCCCGCCCTGACCTTGTGGCGCTGGGCCTCTACCACGGGCTGCTGTAGCGCCTCAAGGTGGGTCTGCTTGCTTCCTGGCTGGCTGGCTTGCTTGCTTGCCCATGCCCGTGTGACTCATGCCGTAACTCTACTCTCTGCCCGTGTGACGCATGTGGCACACCCCTTGCCCGCTCTGACCTAGTCTCGCTGCGCCTCTACCACGGCCTGCTGTACCGCCTCAAGGTATGTGCCATGTGCTGTGAGCCGTGTGCTGTGTGCTGTGTGCCGTGTGCCGTGTGCCGTGTGCCATGTGCCATGTGCTGTGTGCCGTGTGCCATGTGCCATGTGCCGTGTGCCGTGTGCCATGTGCCATGTGCCGTGTGCCGTGTGCCATGTGCTGTGTGCCGTGTGCCATGTGCCATGTGCCGTGTGCCGTGTGCCATGTGCCATGTGCCGTGTGCCGTGTGCCATGTGCCATGTGCCGTGTGCCGTGTGCCATGTGCTGTGTGCCGTGTGGCATGTGCCATGTGCCGTGTGCCGTGTGCCATGTGCCATGTGCCGTGTGCCGTGTGCCATGTGCCATGTGCTGTGTGCCGTGTGCCTTGTGCCGTGCGCTGTGTGCTACCTACCTTGCGCCTTACCCCAGCTCCACGCCTTGTTCTCCCCCATAGATCTCCCCCTGTCCCATTCTCCCCCGTGCCTATGGTCCCCCACGCGTGTTTTCACCCTTTGCCCCACCCTGCAGGTGCTATTGAGTGTGAAGATCGTATCACACGTGATGGCATCGACCATGTTTAGGCGCTCAAAAGCACACCCCTCTGCCCATGCTTCAACCCGTGCCCCACACTGTGCCCCATGCCGTGCCCCATGCTGTGCCCCACCCCGTGCCCCTTGCCCCACCCTGCAGGTGATAGTGAGTGTGAAGAACATATCAGACGTGATGGCATCAGCCATCAGAGCGCACTACGACAACGACGACCCTGGCTTGCAGGTCCCTCCCTCCTCTCCTCCCACGCCCCCCTACCTACTTTCCTGCTACCAACCGTGCATCCTTTACACACCCATCATTTACCACCCATCCTTTACCACCCACGCATCTTTTACCACCCACGCATCCTTTACCACCCACGCATCCTTTACCACCCACGCATCCTTTACCACCCACGCATCCTTTACCACCCACGCATCCTTCACCACCCACGCATCCTTTACCACCCACGCATCCTTTACCACCCACGCATCTTTTTCCACCCACACATCTTTTACCACCCACGCATCCTTTACCACCCACGCATCCTTTACCACCCACGCATCCTTTACCACCCACGCATCCTTCACCACCCACGCATCCTTTACCACCCACGCATCCTTTACCACCCACGCATCCTTTACCACCCACGCATCTTTTTCCACCCACACATCTTTTACCACCCACGCATCCTTTACCACCCACGCATCCTTTACCACCCACGCATCCTTTACCACCCACGCATCCTTTACCACCCACGCATCCTTTACCACCCACGCATCTTTTTCCACCCACACATCTTTTACCACCCACGCATCGTTACCGGGCCACTTCTCCTGCCCAACGCTTTTTTTGTCACTGGAAACGCCGCGATCATCCCTTCTTTCAGCCGTTCTTGCTGTCTTTATTCACGCACGGCCAAGATCGAAGCCACTCCCCTTCAATACCTAGTAGCTACCTCAATGTGAATTCTATAACCCAGTTTCTTCTCCCTGCCCCCGCCTCGTTCCTCTCCCACTATTGCCAAGCACCGCCCTCGATTATCCCCTTTGACTCAACCCCGCCCCCCCACCCCCCCCCGGCTCGTTGCTTACCGCTCCCCTCCCTTCCTCCTGTGTTCACCCCAGGTGCGCCTAAGGGAAGGCAGTCTGATGTGCTTGGACACGTCTCTCTCTGCGGCATTTTCTAGTCGACTCAATAGTCCGCTCCCCCCCCCCTTCTCTCCCCCCCCCCCTTCTCTCCCCCCCCCTTTTCCCCTTTTCTTCCCATCCAATATCCCCCCAGGTGCGCCTAGTGCACGACAGTCTGGTGTACCTGGACGTGTCTCTGCGCCAACTACCTTATCATAAAACGTCTCAAGACCCCACCCCACGTTTTCCCTCACCCTCCCTTGCGCCCCCCTGCTCTCTTGCTCTCTCTCCCCCCCAGGTGCGCCTAGTGGAGGACAGTCTGGCGTACCTGGACGCTTCTCTGCGGCAACTACCGTGCGGCACATCTCCCTTACTCCCTTCCCCTCACTCCCCCCCACACTCTCCTGTATCCCTCTCTGCTGTCCCCCAGGTGCGCCTAGTGGAGGACAGTCTGGTGTACCTGGACGCGTCTCTGCGCCAACTACCATGCGGAACATACGCCATAGTCAACCTCGACCATCTCATGTCCTCTCCATCAGTCAGTGCCTCTCTCTCTCTCTCTCTCTCTCTCTCTCTCTCTCTCTCTCTCTCTCTCTCTCTCTCTCTCTCTCTCTCTCTCTCTCTCTCTCTCTCTCTCTCTCTCTCTCTCTCCTGGTTTCCCAAACGCACTTGTCCCCACGTATTCTTTCCTTCCTCCTTCCTCCATCCTCCTTCCTCCTTCCTCCTTCCTGCTTCCTCTCCCCACTCACCATTTGTTCCTTCTCTTGATGCTGTGCAGAATCAACACTGTTGTGATCATAGCTCCCGCCAGCCTCATTTCTCCTCCAATTCAGACACCACGCAGCAATCCTTCCACGCTCTTCTTCCGTTCTTCTCCCCTCCCTGCCTCCCCTCCCTCCCTTCCTCGCCTCCCTCCCCGCCCGCCCATCCCCTCACCGCCACGAAGCCTGCATTCGTTTTGCAGCCCGCTCGCTTCCTGGACCTGCACGGGGTGCGGGAGGAGCAGCTGCTCTCCGCCCTGCGCCACACAACAATCTGAACCCCCTCCCCTCCCCTCCGCTCCCCCATGTCCCCTCCTGTTCCCTGCAGCCGCCTTTCGTCTCGCAGCTCGCGCGCTTCCTCGACCTGCACGGGGTGCGGGAGGAACAGCTCCGCACTGCCCTGCGCCGCACGCGCACCGTGTGGGCGCGCCCCCGCCCCCCGACAATACCTCGCTTCAACGGCGAGCCCGTTGCAGCTTTCTTCCGGCGGCGGCGGCATCTGTGGCCGCTGCTAGCAGGCACACAGGAGGATTTCTTCTCTGCAGGAAGCCCAGCGGACTGGCCTTCTGGTGTTCCCTCTCGCCGTGACCCGTGGACTTGAACCGTTCTGCACCGCTATGAATCGATACGAGCCGTTGTGCGCCTTAGGAAGTCTCTCAAAGTGGCTGGGCCACCAAGGCCTGGCCTGGCCTGGCTGGTTGGCATTTCTTGTACCATGATGGGTATTATAATTTGTGGCTGGAATGTCGTATCCCCGTGTAAGAGTAATACACATCCATGGTTGTTGCACACTGATGAGGGTCATTTTTTTGGGTTGCGGAGTGTTGGGCTGAGAAATGCCCTTGGGATCTATCCATAGACTAAGTCCCAGTTGTAAAAGACTTGAGTAGTGCAGCGGAAGTTGAGTAGTTGAACCCTTGTACTAGTATATGAGAACAAGTGATTGATTAAAAGAAACAAGCATACAGCAATATATAGATAGTAGGAAAGTAAAGCAGTTGTAGAATACAGTTAAAGGATCGGTTTCTCGAGTCGCACAGCGACTCGATTGACGGTTCTGTTACCATCCTTGCAGTTGTAACGGTCAGTCGCAACCTCCGGTTGCGACTCTTCGTGTCCATTCGTGTTCTTTGTCCGCCCCTTCGTGTAACCTCCGTTGACTCGCGTACTCGTTATGACTTTCCTCAAGTGTAGTGTTTACACTTCAGAAACGCTTAAGTCTTTGAGATATTTCCAACACGGAGCAACCTATTACGATCGATTTTGCCGAAAAAAAAAATTTCACGCGGATTTTGGGAATTAGAAACAATAAGTACAAAATAGAACCATATTTTTGGACTTCCTCCTCATCTAACTAGTAAATCGCATTTCTGTTATAATATATATGTAATGGTTTGCAATCTTTGAAAGATAGCTTGTTGATTGTTGATACTTCCAACCGAAATTCTACTGTCGTATTTCAGCAAATTTTGTGTTTGATTGCATCGCGCCATTAGCAACTGATCCAATCGAATCGTGCTCGATTTTTTTTTGCATGTCATGGGTCCATGACACGAGTCTACAATCAAATTGATGATTATTATGCTACACTGCAGAAAACCCAAACTCTAGGCCACCGCTTCCCCAGCACTAGCATGGGGGGGAATGTCGGAAACTAAAATTTAAGAAGTGTTTAGTAGAGAGACAACAAGGGTATATACCTAAGAGTGTTGTACCCTCTACGAGGTGACCCTATACAATCTATACCAATATATGTTATACATATGTTTGACACACCCCCTAGACTGCATAGGGGCAAATCCTAAACAAGCAGCTCAAGGCGGCACTACTAGTCCAGCCATTGAGACAAGGGTCTAAGGACCAGTCAAAATGGGGTACAGACAAGACAAGAACAAGACCAGGGCGGCACTACTAGTCCAGCCACTGGGAGAGGACACAAGTCCAATCTGAGTACATATATATAGATATATATATAGGACAGTACAACGTCAAGGTCCTAGCAAGTGAGTGGCTACAGGAACTAAACCGAGCTGTACACAGTGCCGCTGATGATCTTTAGGTGCAAGCGCCTTCGTAAAGATATCAGCTGTCTTCGCACCAGAGACCAAGTGAACTACGCGGGCCTGGCGGCGCTGCTGTAGCTCGCGCAGGAGGAAGTACCGCAGCTGGATGTGCTTCGCTCTGCCCTCAAGTCGAGGCTCCTGACACAGGAGTATCATGGCCCTGTTGTCAGCGTATAGGACTGGGGCAGAGCTAGGCCGCTCACCTAAGTCAGTGAGCAAGAAGGTCAGCCAGCTGAGCTCCTGTGCCGCCATGGCACCAGCGTAGATCTCAGCCTCACAGCTCGACTGAGCAACAGACGACGAGCGAGTGGATCTCCAAGAGATAGCACCCGAACCAAGGCTAAAACAGTAGCCCTGCGACGACCTGAGCGTCTTAGAGTCGTCTGCCCAAGAAGTGTCTGTATGCCCAGTGAGGACCACTGGTCTGCGTCCTCCTAACACTAACCCCATGCCTGATGTACTTGCTAGATATCGCAAAACCCTCTTAGCGGCCGACCAGTGCTGTGGTCGGTGTATGCCAGTGGCCACAAAGCGAGCCAGGATGCTGAGAGGGTATGCAAGCTCTGGGCGAGTGCAGGTCATCAGGTACATGAGGCAACCCGCAAGCTCTGCATAGGGGCCGCTGGGCTCTACTGGCTCCTCAGGAACAGGAGCGGAAAGCCCGTGGTCTACAGGTAGAGGTGTGGGCTGTGCAGAGGAGAACTGAAGACCGAACCTCTGAAGGACCTGACGCACCAAGTGTGACTGAGTCAGAGTGATGGTGTGTGCTGCTCTGTCCCTAGAGATCTACAAGCCAAGGTAGCGACGCAGCTCTCCAAGGTCAGTGCAGGTGTGTCTCTTCAGCAGCTCGGCCTTCACAGAGGCCAGTGCGTCCCTGTCAGCAGTAGCAAAGACCAGGTCGTCTACGTAGACAAGGATGTAGAACGGAGTCTGGCAGGAACGCACAAACAGCGAGGGGTCAGCGGACGACGGAAAGAACTGCAGGTCTGCTAACGTGGCCCGTAGCGTGTCGTGCCACTCGCGCGGAGCCTAACGCAGGCCGTAGACCGGGCGCCTGAGAAGCCACTGGGTCCCACGGGGGAAGGTACCAGTGAACCCCTGCGGTCGGCGCAGGTAGACCTGCTCGTGTAGGCTGCCCTGAAGAAAAGCAGTAGAGAAGTCGAGGGAGTGAAGCTCGCAGTCGCGCTGTGCTGCTACGTGTAGCAGCGCCCGAAGTGTAGTCATCTTCGGGGTCGGGGCGAAGGTCTGGAAGAAGTCCACCCCCTCGCGCTGACTGAAGCCTCTGGCCACGTAGCGCGCCTTGAACACAGGCGGCTCTCCAGGCGGGCGCTTCACCTTGAAGAGCCACCGACCATCGACTACGTTCATCCCAGGTGGGGGAACTGCGTCGACGTAGGTGCCGGTGGACCTCGAAGATGCCATCTTCTGCTCTATGGCAGCTATCCACTGAGAGGCCCACGGTCCCGAGGTGGCCTCAGCGTAGGTGCGAGGGGTCGGGATGTCGAAGGCGTCGGGGTCACCCTCAGGGACTAACAGCATGGAGCAGAGATGGGGAGCAGCCTCGGAAAGGAAAGCAAGCTCGTACTGCCTGTCCTCTAGGACGTCACTGCCAAGGGCAGGAGCACCCCCGACGGACGGAGGACGGGCAGGGTCAAAGACCAGAGCGGTAGCGTAGTCAAGGCGGCGGGTGGAAGCGTAGTCGGCGACAGCAGCGACAAGCGCGTCAAGGCGCGAGACAGGAACAGCAGGGTCGGTAACGAGGGAGGCAAGAACTTGAGGGACAAGAGGACGAGCGGCACGGAGGTAGTCCGAGAACGGAGGAGGCGCAACAGCAAGCGACGAGGGAGGAGGGGAGGAAAGGAGGGGAGGACGAGACGGGTGGGAACGGAGCAACATAGGGTGAGAGCGCAGAACAGGAGAGGCGGGACGGGCACGTGAGGGACGGCGGGACCAAACGTGGGACTGAGAGGTAGGGTCAGGAGACAGCGGAGGGGACACAAAAGGAGAACGAGGAGGAAGACGGGCCGGAGACGAGTCAGGCGGCGAGAAAACAGGATCGTAGACCGGAAGGTCAGTAGGCGGCGGGGGAGACACCGGCGAGTGGTCCGGGGAGGGAAGCCGA